GGTGAATGCAACATTGGCTTAAAGCACAGCACATTAAAGCAGCACAGTTTTCAAGTATGTTATTGGACTCATTAGCATAATGTGTCAGATTGTAATAGTGATTGAGCACCAGTATTGTTCTAACTACAATAATTGTGGTGTTTTAACTTTTAAAAACTGCTTAGTTGACTCTGCAGATTGATTGACCACCAAGCTTTGGCTTAATAATTAACAGCACAGCATGTAGACTTCATAGCATTTCCTGGTGGGATCAGTAGAAATGATGATGAAAGTGACAGGAACTGTTCCATTACACTCTAACAAATTAGTCCACTCTAATGTTCCTAATTTGTGGCAGGATATTTTGCTACGCCACAGTATCATTGAATTCTTTTAATATTATTTGTTTTTACAGCTTCTTTTTTTTCTTCATTGATATGCAAGCTGTTCGTGAATCAGTCATCTTAACCAGAAGAGACACAACCCTGATATATTGTGCGTGGCAGGTTATCTCCCATGGCTCCAGTTCTCCACATATGAGGTCTATGTATGGAGACTAATGTCTGCGTCAGCCTCGTGGGTCTCTTCTGAAGTATCCAGTCCACAGTTTGACCAGAGGGATGTAGGAGGGAGGAACACCTGGTTAGCCCCTCTATAACAAGCTGTCATAGGACCTAATGAGCTCCCTGATTATCTTCCCCAGGGAGTATGTAAAACCTACGTACTCTGCAAAATAACCATTTCTATTTTTACCCCAGTGGACAAAAGTCTGCTGATTATAAATTACAGGGTGATTGTCTGTGATGCAGGTCAGACATGCACAGGATACTTCAGGGTTTGATTTGGAGACTTTTAACCTCTTGACACATGAAACACAACGCTCTTGATGAAAATATCCAGCCGTCCCAGATTTCCTCCACTGCTCATCTCCAGTGACGATAGAGGACCACTTGTCAAACGATGCTAATATTAGGCACCAGTTGAACGGTTGGGATGTCAGCGTTGACAAGCGGCGCCCGCAGTGACCTCATAGCGTAAAAGGTGGGGAGTGGGGAGGTGTGCTTTGTTACCTGGGCCACCCTCCTACACCACATCAGCAGCAATCAACCTCAAAATTGTCTGCAGCCCGCCCACATTCGTAGTCTGATCTGACAGTGATTAGTACTGACAAACTCAGGGAAACAGTAATACGTGGCATAAGCCTGGCTGTGTTTGTTTAGTCACTCTACTGAGCTTAGGGCAAACAAGCAGGTTTTGCAAAATGATGGATGGCATGTACTGTAAACTGACTGGTTCCCGCCGGCTCTAGTCAGTTTGAGTGTCTTTATGTGTGGTCGTGGCTCCAGTGGATTGGCAGGCGGGGGCTGTATACACTGCTGCGTTCTTTGGGCTGTTACTTTATCTTTGAGATGGATGAGGATGATTCCCCAAATTCACAGATGTGACGGGTCAGTTGTGCCCATCCCTTGAACTCTCACACACACTCATACCAAACCTTACAGTCACACCAACTGATTACCCACTACACATGCTGCGGACTCTCCAAAGCCCTGAGTGGCTTTTGTTGAATAGGTAAACAGGGAAGGGAGTGTCCAGACACAAAGGTGTGAGCAGCGACGAGGAGACCTGGCCAGATCTGTTTCACTATGTCATCATGTGAAAGAGCCCTGGTGGGTGCCCCCACTCCACCCCCTCCCCTCCACCTCCTCTCGCCTTTCAGCCGTCTTCAATGGGCCCTGGGAATTTCTCACCACGATCTGGTTAGCCCCATTACAAAGAACCCCGTGGCCAGCTTGAAAGCACTCTTCCATACACATATGCACAAGCACGCAAAGGACTCCACCAGCATTCATCACAATGATGTATGAAAGGGAAACTGGAAATGACAAGCTGTCTCAAGTGGACTGATTCTGAGCAATTTTTATGATCTGGTCTAGAGTTGTTGACATAAAAACACTCAGAGATGGTTTCTCGTTGCTGTGTTGTCCAAGATACTCATTTTACTGGTTTTGGAGAAATTATGCGCAAATTTTCATTCCAGTTGTGTGCAACAGGAATCAGTTTGTTGTGGGTTTTTTTTACCTCATGTCAATTACAACACAGTGCCTCATATCAGTTACAACACTCCCAAAGACCAGTTTGGGTTTACAGACCAAAATCTAAACCTCCCTGCTTAGCTGTTTGTTTCCATCCTCCAGTCAAAGCTTTCACGGAAACCGACAATTGGAAACCCAGCTTCATGTCATTAAGCTGCCTCACACATTTCTCCCTCTTTTAAAACATTCCCTGTTCTCTTTCCCTCCAGATGACACAGCCGGGTCACTAATGTTTTTCTGCCCGTCTCAAGTGAACAGAGAAGAAGAGAGGGGGGTTGATGGTTGTATATTCGACGGCCAGCATCCAGGATATATGCCTTCCCAGGATGAAGGCCACGAGCAACGCACATATATATATACACACATATAGTGCAGTCAGAGAAACTCAATGCGGCTTCCACCAGGGAGGGCCAGACCAGTTTATGAATATTGATAGAATCTGGCTGGCTGAGTGCTGGGTCAGCTGTAGGGCTGCAGCATTCAGTCTTCCAAACTGTCTGCATGTGTTTAACACATCGCATTACAAAGACAGTGTGAAGCAGCAGTCACCCAGTGCGTGTGGCTCTTCACTGCTGCCAACCAGACACTTAGCTCAAGTGCTGTTGGTGCCCACTGGCAGACATTTGGCAAAAGCCTGAGTGAACATGCATGCAGTTAGTTATGAATTCTTCTGTGTTGGCTTGTTGGAGGCATACATTATGAACAATCTTGGACCAGACACATTCCTCACAGAAATATTAAGCATCCACACATGTGCCTCACAGTAACATCCTCCTATTTTTTAATCCCCCACAACGAGCTTCATAGTAATGAGGTGCGCCCAGAGCAAGCCAGTGATGTCACCCATCACTCTCTTGTCTTCACTCATATCTGGTTTCTGTGTGCTGCATGCTTGGCAAGAGCTCTTCACATAAGGAAAACAATAGTAAGCACACATACAAATGCACTCATGCTCTTTCTCTCTCCCATACATACAGGCGTGTAATCTGACATAGGGCTCCTGTCAGACACGCAGTGTGGTTATTACACACTTCAGAGCCCAGGCCAAGTAATGGGACTTAAAGATAGAATTTTGTTAGGGCCTTCTAGAAGAAATCATACAGTATATCCAACGACGCTGTTTATCTTTGCTGAAGCCATAATATTTATTCTTTGCTCATATCTGATTCACCATTTCTGATTCATACTTTCTAGACTGTAACCTTGAGATTTCCATGAGATTGAGATTTGTCCTTTTTTAGCATCTGGCCACAGAACAAGCACGGCCCCCTGCCCAATGTTGCTATGCTCTGTTTCTAAACTGGTGGCGTTATTGATCTTGGCCTTCTGTTTCAAACCCAATTCCGTTCAGCGGGCCCTGTGGACAGCACAACGCCGTCATTTGGTCAGACCCTGAGGTTTACTCTGAGCCATGAATGGATCTCTATGTTGTTCTCATCGGTTTCTGACCATTCCATCACCAGCTGGGTTTCGAGGCGACACCCCTTGTCCAACTCCCTCAATCTGAGCTTCTTTTGATAAAGCCCTCCTCTGATACTGTCATGACTGTTGTTTCTATGGCTCCCCTAACAGACCCAGACCATTTCAGGCCAGAACACACACATGCACAAACATACTGGAACATTGATGCAGACACGTGAATACTTTGGTCCATGTCACACACACACCAACACCATACCGTTTATGCCATACAGTTCACACATTGTACTGGCAGCTGTTCAGACAGAATGGGATTTAGCCATTTTATGTCTGGTAGAAATTTGACACACATGCACATTTGGCATTAGTGTGTACTCTTATGTCACTCCTCTTGCCATTAATCAAGCTTTACAAGAGCCCCTGTGTACTACAGCAGGGTTCTGAATGAATATTGCAGCATTTGCCACAAGAAAACAAGTATTGATGTGTTTTGAGGACTGCTGATACCCTGAAAACCATTTGTCTCCTCCTAAACTGTTAAACAAAACTCTCGAATGAACAAGAAATGTGACCTGTGCCCCCTGAGTCTCTAAGATTCTCTTCTCTGTAATTCCTTTATTATCATGTCACTCTTCCATTATGTGCTCCTATATAGAGAAGCAATATGTTATCCTGGGCGAGTGATGTGTCAGAGTCATGTGTGCTTCATCTCTTCGCCAGAAGTGTGTGTGTGTAGAAATCAGAGTGGTTGCCGTGGCACCCAAGTGGAAACAAAACAGATGTCAGCTGGTGCAGGCAGTGTGTGTGACAGAAGGGCCTCGGAGAGATATGCTGGACGTGCGGCGTGATGCTCCTCTGCTGTTCAGTAATATAGGTTAAATAAACTCTCCGGGACAAGAGTTGGCTCGCTGTGACATCACTCAACTGTTAGAGGAGATATTTCTGGCACGAGAGTTTGAGTTCCAAGGTGGCCTTGTTGCTTTTTTTCTCTGGATTTGATTCTATCATCATGATATAAAGCGCTGTGGTACAAGGGAGGGAACATTCAAGGCCAAATTTAGTAGTGGGTCTACTGAAGAGAGAGGGGGAGATCATGGGAGAATGTAATGAGGTTTCTAATGTGCTCTTTTTGCCCCATTTCGTCCAGATGTTTTAACAGCAAGTTCGTTTTTTCTTGCCACCCGCATCCCATCCCCTGTCTTTCCACACACCTTACATATTAGTCCACACGCCTGTTATCAGGGAAGGATGCCCATTGTGTGTCCAGATGAGTAATAGTTTCATGGGGAGAGTAGAAATGTGTCATGGTGAAAGAATGTAGACTTCAGACCTCTCCTGTAGGTGGTATTTCTTTCTTCTCCGAACGACATCCAAACATGGAGAATGTGCATACGTGTCTAAGTGATTCGCACCAGTGCTTTCACACCACTCAGTAGGGTTCCAGATATAAGATGTGGTAGGTGGTTTGAGATTATTGATACAGTATGTGTTCCCTTTTTTTTGCAGCTGAGATATCAACATGGCTTGACCACCCCAGACCTGCAACAGACACTACCCAACTTGAAAAACTTCCTGGAACATGGCCTGCTGGTCCGATGGTAAGAAACAGAAGGACACTTTACACCTAAAATATTTCACTTTTCACTGAAGTCCAAAAGATACTGTATAAAAGAGACTTATCTATATTTACAGAACACAAGTATCAATCACTCTTTAAAATAACCTGGATAGTTTACTTTTTTTCATCAATCAATCATTTTTATTATTATTTCATTTCATTTTTCTATGATCCCCATTACTTCCATCAAAACAGAAGCTATTCATTGTGGTTTTATTGTCCACAACAGTAACAGACAGCAGAAAATCACATGCTGGTACTCCGCAACATCCTACAACCATCTCAGCCAATCCCAAAGACAAATTAAAGCTGCAAGCAGCATTGAGCGGGTCCGCGCACTCCACGCAACTCGGGGCGTGGTGCGGCTGCGTCACATGCCGTCATAACACGTTCCGACCACAACATGAAATTTTCACGTCACCCCTATCCCAAGCCCTCATCGCCAGAAGCTGAGGGAGATCACTCTACGTTGTCACACGTTTCAGACACTGCAAAAGACTTAAGCTTTGCTGCGAAAGGTGGAAATTCAGCCACGGGGACGTTTGATGCACAGTAAATATTTGATTAACTTATGATCACCAATGGGTCTAGATTGCAGTGATCGAATATGAAGCCAATATGATAAAATATGTAGGAATTAGTTAAAATAGAAGCCCTGAAATGCCGGAAATGGCATCACAGTGGCCGACTTTGACGGCACGCCACGGACACGCCCTTCAACGTACACACACAACGTCACAAATAGCACGGCATTCAGTCAGCAACATTTTTTGACTGTACTGACCAATTTTGAAGCAGATCCGATAAAACTTGTAGGAGGAGTTAGTTAAAATAGAAGCCCTGAAATGCCAAAAATGGCATCACAGTTTGACATTCGATTCAAAATGGCCAAGTTTGACGGCACGGACACGCCCTTCAACGTACAGTCACAAATAGCACGGCATTCATTCAGCAACATTTTTTTAATGTACTGTCCAATTTTGAAGTAGATTTGATCATTTGAAGTCCCCTATGAGGAGTTCATTCAAATAGAAGGCAAGAATTCACCAAAAATGACCACAGAATTCAAAATGGCCAACTTTGACGGCACACCACGGACACGCCTTTGAACGTACAGTCACAAAAAGCGCGGTGTTCATTCAGCAACATTTTTTGACTGTACAGACCAATTTTGAAGCAGATCCGATAAATTCCATAGGAGTTTGTTCAAATACAAGGCAAAAAAGTGAAAATGACAAACAAAATGGCCGCCAAGAGTGAAAATGAAAATGAAAATAGCCGACTTCTTGTGGGTTTTGGGGCATGGGTCCAAGAGGCTTTTCTGTAGGTCTCGGCACGTTACACGTGCCTACCGAGTTTCGTATGTATTGGTGAAACGTGGCGCCGGGGCTGCTTTGTTGAAATACTGTAGGGAGCGCTACAAACACGGCAAACACGATTTTTGGTATGTGAGCTACAGGCACCAGTCTACACGTGCCCTGTCAATTTCATATTCATAACTTCACACAGGGATTTACCCAGCCACCAGACCGCCACCCAGATGTCTACGTGAAATGTTTCGTGCGAATCTGACATAAGCGCATGGATGGAACACAAAAACTTAGTTTTTGGACATTTTGCACTCTAGCGAAAAAAAATCTTGGCGAAAGTGGCCGTGGCCTATATGGGGAGATGCAGCTCCATTCACCAAACGCGTGGATATAGGTTTTTTGAATGTGAGACAAACGATGCGGGAGTTATTAGCCTAAACCTACTCTTCTTAATAGTAGCGCCACCTCGTGGCTGAGCCGAACGTGACGCATAGAATATCCAATTTTTCACCAGGCCTGACCAATTTCCCAAATAAAATACATCCAAAGTATATGTTCAGGGGGTCAAAAATGCAGTGATCATTTCCCACAAATAATAATAACTTTGGCAAATACAATGGAGACCTCACAGTGTTTGACACTGGCTCGGTCCCTAAATATATATATATATATGTATTTATACTATATGTATTTATATAATATCATATATACGTGTGTGTGTGTGTGTGTGTGTGTGTGTGTATATGTTAAGCAGCAAGTGAAAAGCATCAACTTTGAAGACAAAATGTTCACTTGCTGCTTAACATATCCCACCCAGGTGCCATGATAACCAGATAATCAGTTATTCACTTCACCTGTCAGTGCTCATAATGTTATGGCTGATAGGTATATATATTCCATTTCTGCCAATAGATCCTCCTACAGAACTGACAAACCAAAGAGAGGGTGAAGTGAGGGACTTGTCTGCAACTACACTGCTAAATGACACTAAATCCTACACACTGGACTTTAAGTGCACACCTATCTGTTATTCATTCCACAGCTGAATGACAATGAATTTTTCTGTCAATTGTGAACTTGTCAGTGATACTGAAAAAGGCCCCTACCGGAGGCCAAGGAATTGGTCCATTCCAAACAGGCACATTTCAAATGGACACTGCAGTTGGCCCCAGCCCTTTAAATCAGATTAGATTAATGAGCACAGAGAAACGTTCTACTTTCAGTAGATGAATGTGAAAACATCCTTCTAGTGAGTGGAATATTAACACCAGGGATTGTAATCTCTTTCAGATTGTTCTAGTAACTATTCTTCTCAGAACAGAATATTGGTCTGACACAGCACAGTATCGTCTGAAATCATATGGATATCTTAGGTAAAAGTTAAGAATGCTATATACCTCACTTTTCTAATGATACTTCTGCACATCGTCAGTGCCTCCGCAGTGTTTGATGAGATTTGCAGCAGCCACTTAATCCGGTGAAGTAGAATGCTTAGATCTCTGCCTCTCCTTCAACAGTCTTATGGCCTGTAAGTAACCCTTCACTAAAACCTGGGAGTTGGTCTGTGTCAGACTTCAGCTCCACTGCCCTATAAAAGAGAAAGCTGTCTTTGATCTCCACTCCTCTCCCAGGGTCAGCAAAGGGGAAAATGTGTATTACACACATTAATTGAATAATCTTTTGTTTTGAAAGGAAAGAGGCCATGAAAAGCCTGAGCTCTCAAATCAGCCCTGCACCGCCCCCCTCCTTAATGGAAAGTGGAAGGGCCCAAAGATAGATGAGATGAAAGCATGGGCCGGTTAACCCTGAAGCTGTGTGCGTGTGCGTGTGCGTGTGTGTGTGTGTGTGTGTGTGTGTGTGTGTGTGTGTGTGTGTGTGTGTGTGTGTGTGTGTGTGTGTGTGTGTGTGTGTGTGTGTGTGTGTGTGTGTGTGTGTGTGTGTGTGTGTGTGTGTGTGTGTGTGTGTGTGTGCGTGTGTGTGGGGGGGGGGGGGGGGGCGCGACCGGACGCGTGTACGTTTCTGTATGAGTGTATAAGTGTATACATGCATGGAAGTTTTTAAAGAAGTAGAGGTGGGAGTGTAACAGTTCTACAGTGGCTTGCCACAGCCACACTCCTGTTCACCAACAAGACCACAGGGACAGGAACAAAAGCTGTCCTGTACGGACTCAGAATTCATCAGCTGAGATTTAAGAAGCTGCCTTTCTCATCATCTTAAGCAGCACTTAGCTTCAAAAATATGCACTTAGATCAGTCATTCGCATTCATACGACAAAGCAATAGCTTTAGTAGCACCTGAAACGAATAGTTCAACATTAAGGGAAAATGCATATTTGCTTTCTTGTCGAGAGTTCGGTGAGAAGATTGATACCCCTTTCATTACTGCACGGTAAATATGAAGCAGCCAGCAGCTGATTATCTCAGTTTAGCAGAAAAACTGGAAGCAGGGGAAACAGTTTGTCTGGCTCTGTCCAAAGGTAATATCCACTCACTGGCACCTCTAAAGCTCACAAATAAAGACCCTGAAAACCACAACATGCCGTTTTTACATTTTGGTTCTTGTACATATCAAATGATTGAGATAACTTCTTAATTAGTGAGCTTTGGCTTTCAACCCTAATTTCCTAATTACATCAGTCATCTCTTACCATAATGTTTTTATTTGTTTTTGCTATTAAGCTACTGTCGTGTAACAACTCCTCAGCACATTGTGATAATGGTGTCTTGGTGTTAATTAATTTGTCCCTATATTAAAAGACCACACCTACAAGCAAGACATACTGAAAGTAGCTCCACACACACACACACACACACACACACACACACACACACACACAATATATATATATAGACACATAAGTATGCTAAGATTTAAGCAGAGTTACAGTGGTTAATTTTCCCTCCTTTCATCATAAGACCTTGCATATTGCACCTTTAGCCTTACTTGACGCCTCCAGCAAGGATGAGGAGGTGACTGCTTTACAATACCCTATAAAAAAGGAGGATATGCACTGATTTCCTTCCCATATCAGTTCCAGTCTTTTTTTACCCCTTTTTTGAAAAAGCCTAAATTCAGATACAATTTCCAGTGCTGGGACCCAGTTTATGAAATATGGATGTATAAAAAAATGTTGCATGGCATCTGCAGGTAATTATCCTATAGACTGTGAGCGAGAGGCTAATCTGCTTCCTCAATCCCTCCTTGCCACCTCTTTCTTCCTTCCACGAATCCAAACAGGGATGATGTGATGAAGGATATGACCGAGGGCACCATTTCCAGAACAGATTTGGTTCCTCCCTCCATGTAGAACTAATTCAGCATGCATTCAGTCTGCAGGGAGAGCCTTTCCCAAAGCGCCAAGACTCACACAATGGGAGTATAGCGAGTTCATCTTGGATTTTTTACAGACTGGATGGAATAACTGAGGAAAAGCAGAGTGCATGTAAGAATATAAAAGGGTATACAACAAGTTATGTCTTTTTTGTACAGCGGGCTATATGATGCTTGTCTGGCAAGCTGCTGATCATATCTTTATACATTTCCAAACAGTGCTGTCTCAGAAACACATCATAACATGTCATAATATATACAGCCTAGCTCTGGTGAAAAATGGGCAGTATTTTTTTTTTTAAATCTTGCTGAAGGATAAGAAACAGCGGAAAAATGGTGA